GGGGGTAGAGTAAAGAATCTCACACATACCTGCAAAGCCTAGCAAGTATGGCATGATGTTAGTAATTGTGTCAGTATTAAGGGCTAGTAGATACAGAATTCTGAGATGTATCATGGGAATTAACCTGAGCTAGATGACAATGCTGCTGGAGTAGCATTCCTTCAGCAGATGTGTCCCGGGTGACTTGGCTGTAGGTGGCAATTCAGATATTTAAAAAATTGCTCACCCCTGCCAGAAGCATCTTTGAAGTTGGATTCCTATATCTGAAGGGAAGAGAAGATACATTGCATGATCTGATAAGGAAAAGTACCATACTGGCAAAGAGGTAATCTTATTAGTGTGTCGGTTGCAGTTTTGACTGTGTATCACCCTTTGCTTCAGAATATTGAACAAAATGTTGCATTGTGAAAAATGACCCTTGTTTGCTTTATACAGAATGTCCCAGGAGGAATGGTCAATATTCTGGGAAGTCATAGTATTGGTCATTCTAAGCAAAAAGTTGTATATGTATGTGTGCTGTATCGAACAGTTTCCAAGATAGAGCTATTTCACTATAAAATACACTGTACAGACAAGCAACACACCATATCCCCACATGAGTTGCAAAGTGGAATATTGTTGACAGTGGAATTTTAAAAAATTTATTTTATTACGTAAACTGTAACAACTATGCCACTTGAACAATAAATACCATTATTAGAAACAGTACATAATATCTCTGTTTTATTGACAATTTTTTAACTGTACAGTGAAATAAATCCACCTTGGAAACCATTCAGAATAGGGCACATGTACATATACAATTTTTTGCTGAGAATGATCAATAATATGACCTCCAATAATATTAACCTTTCCTCTTCGGACACTCTGTATATTCATAATTTCTTTTGTGTGCATAATGTTAATGACTTCAGTTTTTCATCAAATTTGTAGTGTATCAGTTATCTAGTTTAAAATAGAATAATATATACAGAGTATACACAAAAGAATGGTGCAGTTTCAAAAGTTAATAAAAAATGTATTTGTCACCTTACACGGGCACGACGTACACCGTCAGCGGCGGCAACTGTCCAAGTTTCTCATGCGCTACCAGCAGTTAGCTCCTCATGCTTACTGCATGGCCGCGGGACCAGTTTCAAAGATGGCGTTGCAGCAGGAGAATGCTTTCTGTGTGCTCCGTTTTGAGGTGTCTAGATCTGTGAATACAGTGCAGCGTGAGTTTCGTGCACGGTTTCAAAATGATGCACCACACAAGAATAACATAAGCAGGTGGTACCGACAGTTTATAGAAACTGGATGCTTGTGTAAAGGCAAGAGTCCTGGTCGACCTTGTGTGTCTGATGACAACACTGAAAGAGTGTATGAAGTGTTTCAGTGAAGTCCTCGCAAGTCAGTGGGTAGTGGGAGCAGGGAATGGGCATGCCAAAAGTGACGGTGTGGAAGGTGTTGCATAAGCAGCTATGTTTTAAACCATACAAGATACGATTGGTGCAGGCCCTTAAACCAGCAAAGTGAAAAGGGGTGACTTGCGAGGAGATACAGTTGAAAATGGAGGAAGATGGGTTCGTAGAAAGACTGATCTTCTCCGATGGAGCCACATTCCACATCAGTGGCAAGGTGAAAAGACACAATGTCCATATCTGGGGAACCGAGCAACCACATGCACAGATAGAACACCAGCATGACTCTCCAAAAGTCAACGTTTTCTGTGCGGTGTCCTGCGCGAAAGTGCACTGCCCATTTTTCTTCGCTGAAGCAACTGTGACTGGCGATTCATTTTTGGCATGTTGGAAAGCTGATTGTTACCCCAACTGAATACCAAACAAGATGATTATATTCTACAACTAGTCGGA